CAGACAAGGAGGGAGGCTAACAGGGCTGTTTCAGGTGGAGGGCCCCAATAGACAGTCCTTGCATGGCCTAGCCATGCGCAGTTGAGGATTAGTCTAATCTCCCCTCCTCTCCTTCCTCCTCCTCATAGTCTTAAAATTCTCTTCTCTTAGGCTCTGCTCCATGTGCTTTGTGCCCACTCCTAGTGGACTTGATGTCTTAGCCAGTTAAAAAGTTGTGTTTCTGAGGGTGACATCAACCAGAATGGTGACATATGCCATTCCTGAGTTTGCTCCTCTGATGAGAACAACTAATATTTATTCAATAATAAGACACCACTGAGAGAGTGCCAGAACACAGAGGTAGACTGAAGCTCCCCTTTCCCTGCCCCTCAGAGACCAAACCAGACTGCATTAGAAGGGTAAAAGAAGTGGCTACAGGCCCTAACCGGTGTGGCTCAGTGGACAGAGCATTGGCCTGCGGACTGGAGGGTCCTGGGTTCGATTCCAGTCGAGGGCATGTACCTTGGTTGTGGGCACATCCCTTGTGGGAGGTGTGCAGGAGACAGCTGATCAGTGTTTCTCTCCCATCGATGTTTCTAACTCTCTATCCTTTTCTCTTTCTCTCTGTAAAAAAATTAATAAAATATATTTTTTTAAAAAGTGGCTACACAATAGTTACATTACTCCTCCCCTAGACAGGGCAGCACCACATAGAGATCTCCTGAGTCTCCAGTTCCTCCAGTGGGAAGGAGGACCCAGAGAGGACAGAGCTGACTTCCCCTAGAGCAAAACTGGCCCTGGGTATGGAGGGTTCCCAGGCTATGCACAACAGAGGGTTAATTTATGGCCAAGGCTGAGGGTAGCTCCCTGTCCCTCCCAGCAGGAGAACCTGTTTGGAAAATAAGAGTACCCTGGATGGCCCTCCCCCCTCCTGCTCAGCCGGTGAGACATAGCCCACCTCCTAAGGGTAGTTTAGGGGCCACATCTGATCCAAAGGGCTGGCCTTCCATCTGCAGAGAAAAACGAGAAGCTGTGTGATCAGTAGCACTCAAGCTGAGAGAAGGGCAGAGACGACAGTTGGCATAGCAAAGCCAGTAGACCTACTTGGCTAGAGAACTTGGAGTGCAGGTTAAGACAACGAACAGTTTCACTGATTTTAGAGCCGTTTTTCCTGCTGCTTGTAGGCAGGTACTATAACTGCTGTCGTTCCAAGGAGCCTAACTGTAACATATGGGAGTCTACGTAACACACTCAACAGCCCTACGTATAGCGGTACTTGAACAGACGGCACAGCCCATGGCTTCCCCTCTCGGCAGAGAAAAACTCGTGGCCTCACCTGTTCAGGGAATTCAGTGCACACTCAGGCCTGATTCTATTGAAGTTAAGTTGTTATTTGTTTAAAACGAGATATTAAAAGTTTAAGATATTTTATCTAAGCCTCATGGTAGCCACTAGAGAAAATCATGTAGCAATTACATAAAGAATATAAAGCACACTGATGCCAAAACACATCATAACACAAAAAAAGGACAGCAGGATAAAAAAAACCAAGGAACAGCAGGAACCAGTTTGGCTCGGTGGATAGAGCATAGGCCTATGGAGTGGAGGGTCCCAGGTTCGATTTCGGTCAAGGGCATGTACCTTGGTTGTGGGTACGTCCCCAGTAAGGGGTGTGCAAGAGGCAGCTGATCGGTGTTTCTCTCTCATCAATGTTTCTAACTCTCTACCCCTCTTCCTTGCTCTCTGTAAAAGAAAAAAATATATATATTTAAAAAAACAACAAGGGACAATGGACTACAAAATAACCAGAACAATACAAGAATCAATAATAATTTCTTACCTATCAACAATTACTTTGAGGACCCTTTCCTCCTCCCCATGTGGGAGTCTACTTATTCTTCAATAAATTTCCACTCCTGTCCATGGATTCATTTTTCAACAGAGTTGTGGTTACTAAAGGCAGGGGTTAAGGATGGAATGGGAGGTCCTGGGAACTGGAAGGTGTTCCAGTTACAAAGGTCCAGTTATAAGATAAATATGTACCAGGGAGGTGATGTCCAACATGATGATTGTAGCTAATACTGTTGTATGATACACAGAAATATTGTTAAGAAAATAAATCTGGCTGGTCTGGTGTGGCTCAGTTCTGTTACATGGCATTGCCCCATGTAACAGAAGGTCACCAGTTTGATCCGGCTAGAGCCCACTGCTAAATTTAAACCTTTTGGGGTTCAGTAGGCTAGATCCCCAGGAAGGGCAGCCAGGAAGCAGCTGATCAATGTTTCTCTCTTATTGATGTCTCCATCTCTCTCACCTTCTTCCTTCCTGAAATAAATAAAAACATATTGATGCGATCCTGACCAAGTCCTTTGTACTGAGAGCATCTCTTAAGACTATGACTCCGCCAAAACCGGTTAGTGGATATAGCGTCGGCCTGTGGACTGAAAGGTCCCAGGTTCGATTCGGGTCAAGGGCATGTACCTTGGTTGCGGGAACATCCCCAGTGGGGGGTGTGCAGGAGGCAGCTGATCGATGTTTCTCTCTCATTGATGTTTCTAACTCTCTATCCCTCTCTTCCTCTCTGTAAAAAAAACAATAAAATATATATATTTTAAAAAGACTATGATTCCATGGACTATGCTTTGGGAAATAGTAACCTAATCTAGTCATAGTCTCCATGCAGAGGAAATGGGGAGGGGGGATGTGACTGGCTGAGCTGGCCAGTGGGTTCAATCCCAGAGCACCTGTCTTCCAAACCAAGGTTTTCCCCCCTCACTAACCATTTAACTACAGGAACAAATCAACTATAGGTTCTGGAGCATTCAAAGGATTTAAGGGAAAAAGTTTTAATTTATTGTTGAGGGATTCCACTGGAAGTGAGGGAGTAACAGTGGAAGTCATTTAAAGCAAAACCCAGCTTTAGATGAGCTGCAAAAAATGTTCAGCTTCAGAAAAGAGTCAATTTTTTTTTCCTTGGTGGAGGGTATACTAACAAAGACCAAATGTGCTCCATCAAGTCCTTTTGAAAATACCATAACCTGCAGGAGACAGGAGGAAACATCTGGGACTTCAACATTCCCCAGTTTGCCTCAAATTGACCACCTGACTCCAAAAGCCCTACACAGCACATTGCTTATTCTGTTCAAGCAGGAAATACACTAAAGTTTATTTGACCCTATTATATGTGAGGCCTGTGCAAGGCATAATTCTTGCTGGGAAGGGAGAGTCTGTCTGGTAGGGAAACACTGATAACACATGAAGCCAGACGACAGGGCTACACTTACAATGTGAACAACGTCTTAGGAGCCAGTGGAGGGCAGTGTTTGCAAAGTCTTTGAATGCCCACCCTGCTAAGAAGCTAGCACACCTTAGTTGTGGGCCATTGGAGATATAGATTTGTTTGCTCCGTCTTAAACAGAACTCTGGCCACAGAATGTTCTGTGATTCCACTTCCTGCTGCCCCTCCCTCAACCTCTTCCTTGGTTGATTGATAGGTTAAATAGAGAAGGTAGACCCGAGACCGGGATGGCAGGACACAAGCTTTATTGGAGGGAAGGGTACCCCTGCCGGCTGCTTCCACGGAGAGGGGTGGAAGAGAGCGAGCGAGGGGCTTACAAGCACCTTTAAGGATAGAGGGTGGGGTTTAGGGCACTCAGCACACGCTGATTGATTAGGGACCTAGGGACTTAGGAATGGGGGCTTAGGATATTTGGCAGGTGCTGATTGGTAGTTCAGAGCTCAGGAATGTCTGGCCACAGGTGGGGTTTATGTCTATCCATCAACTGAGAAAGGGAGGATCTGCCAAGACCGGTTTGGCTCAGTGGATAGAGCGTCGGCCTGGGGACTGGAAGGTCCTGGGTTCGATTCTGGTCAAGGGCATGTACATTGGTTGTGGGCACATCCTCAGTGGGGGTGTGCAGGAGGCAGCTGGTCGATGATTCTCCCTTATTGATGTTTCTAGCTTTCTATCCCTCTCCCTTCCTCTCTGTAAAAAATCAATAAAAATGTATTTTTTTTTAAAAAAGGAAAGATCTATCATTGATAACCTCTGGGTCTGGCCACCCTCTTACCCATCATCAAGCCCTACTCTGGCCCTACTCTCCTGCCCCTCATCACTTGTATGACTTTGCCACCTCAACACCCTTGTAACAGCAGACTGATGCCAGCACTGCTGGTAGTTTTTTTCTGCCCGAGTTCTTGTGAACTAGGCCAAAGCAGCAAGTCGGCGTTGGCTCCCACACTGCCAAAACCAGCATCACAATGAACAAGCATAACAGTGAACACAGGGCCTAGGAGCCCACTCCTCAACTTGGGGTCCAACAGTAGGTAGTGAAGGCCTGGGGAGGGAAGTGGATAGAGGGGGACAATGGGGGCGAGGAAAAGGGAACATCTATAACACTCTCAACAGTTTGGCTCAGTGGATAGAGCTTCGGCCTGTGGACTGAAGAGACCCGGATTGATTACAGTCAAGGAAACATGCCTGGGTTATGAGCTTGATCCCCAGTAGGGGGCATGCAGGAGGCAGACCACCTATGATTCTTTCTCATCATTGATGTTTCTCTCTCCCTCTCTGAAATTAATAAAAATATATTAAAAATAAAATAAGAGAAAAATAAATAAATCTTTTGGGATCCTGCAAGCATCTTGATAGACGCAGGCTTAATGACTTCCCATAGCAACCTCCACGTTTAGGGAGCACAACAATCAGGCAACAGGCACAAGAATGCCAGTGTGGTTGCCGCTTTCCACCCACGAGGATACGGGTCCCACGTCGCAAAAAGAGCTGCCCGGCGCAGCCCGCCACCCAGAACCGAGACCGTGAGAAGTCGCAACCTCCGTGAGGGCGCGATGGGGTAAATGCAAGGCAATACTGAGCATGCGCATTCTTTTCAGGCCCCGGGCCGGTGGACGCTGGTCAGGGCGGAAGCGGAAGACTGACGCCACGGCGGAAGCAGCCCTCCCAGGAAGTCCCGCCTGTCTCCAGAGCCTATTCCGGAAGTGCTGCTGTGGTAGCGGGCGACATGGCTTCAAGGTTACTTCGCGGAACTGGAGCGCTGGTCGCGCAGGCCCTGAGGGCCCGCGGCCCCAGTGCGGCGGCCGCGGTGCGCTCCATGGCGTCAGGAGGTACTGGGCCGGCGGACGCGCCGGGGGCGGCGCCGGGGCCTCCCCGGGGTGGGGGTCCGAGCACTGCGCAACGGGCGGCCGTTCAGCTCCGGGCCGCGACCGCCCCAGCCCTGCGGCCTCAGGCTCCGCCCGACTTTCCCCGTTGTTCCCGGCCACCGCTGCACCAGCCCACCTAGTTGACCCTGCTGGGAAGGAATCCTAAAAGGAGGTGCCGGGTGACCTTGGGGGTAGGTGCTGCAAGCGCAATGGGTGGGGGCTGAGCCGCCCTTCAGACCCGCGCGCGCTGTAAATGGGATGAACCCCACCAGGACTCTGATTTACCTGCCTTTAAAAAGAAATGTGTCGAATAATGGGCCTCGGTGCTGTCACTTTGGGGAATCATGACTCTGGTCCTTAGGAGACAGTGGGTATGGGTAGCCTTTAGGAGCTTCTGAGTTCACTTAAACTGGATGCATTTTCGGTCTTGATAATTTTAGTCTACATCGAAATTCACGAATCTTCCTTTAGGTGGTGTTCCTACTGATGACGAACAGGCGACTGGGCTGGAGCGGGAGGTCATGTTGGCTGCACGGAAGGGACTGGTGAGCAGAAACTCCTTTTTGTGTCTTTGGAGCTCATGACCTTGGATGGGACCAGAGCATTCTCCTCTCTGGGAGCATTTGATCCAGGAAACCTGTCTGTGGTAACAGTAGTGCTGGTTAGAGTAGGGGTTCTATGGCATAATGGCTGAATTGTTTTTTTTCAGGACCCATACAATATGCTAGCCCCAAAGGCGGCTTCAGGGACCAAGGAAGACCCTAATTTAGTCCCTTCCATCACCAACAAGCGAATAGTGGGCTGCATTTGTAAGTACCTCATCACTATTTTCTTTTTCTTTAATATGTCATATTCTACAGGATGTCCGTAAACTGCTTCAAATCTTTTCTGTGTTTGTAAAAGTTGTTCTAAGGGTCCTGGCCCTCTCAAACCTCATTATACCTGAGTAAGTCATCCTTACTGTCAATGGCATAGAATATCTAATACTGGCTCATTGGAGATGCAACATGAAGGCGTATTCATCCAGAAAATATTTATTGTACTTGCTCTTAGCTAGGTGTCATTTTAGGCAGGAGGTTTGCATGTCAGAATGACCCTGTTTTGGGATTCTGCATAGGCGGGAACAGTTAGAACCTATACTGACTCTGATATACGGTCAGTTTACTCACAAGTAAACTCAGGCCTGTTTCTTCATGGAAAATGGAAGGATACCTTGAACTGATCTCAAGGTGTCAGCCATAACTTTGTGTCTCGGGTGTCTGAGGAAAAGAGAGTCATGTTGCTAGTCTCCTCTCCTAGACTAGATGCCCTTCAACCACTCTCTCCTTTTAGGTGAAGAGGACAACAGCGCTGTCATCTGGTTCTGGGTGCACAAAGGCGAGACCCAGCGATGCCCTAGCTGTGGAACCCATTATAAGCTGGTGCCCCACCAGTTGTCCCACTGAGCCCCTGCGCTCACTCACTCAACATGTGCTGTAAAGTTTGTTTCCGATAAAGACTAGCCATCGCTTTGGCTCCTCCCACAGTTGGCTGGTCTTATTTCTTTCCTGTTTTTGGCCAGATATGGGTAATTTTTATATCAGGAATAGCTATCCGTTACTATTAGCTTGCCATCCACTCATATACACTGAGACTGACAATCCCATGATGCCATGATTGGAATGACCTTGTACGGGGGAAAGCACGTGCTGTGGAGTCCAGCTGACTGGACTTGTAATATTAGCTCCATTATTTAACTTTGTCACTGGGGACATGTTCTTCAGGGTACCTTATATCCACAAAAAAGATAAATACCTTACCAGGTATCAGAAGTAATAATTAAGAGTCTGGCAGATGGTAAGTCCTCATAGTATTGTTAAAAAGGGTGACTTTTAAGGAGATTTTGGGGGGCTTTGAAGTTTTGAGGGACCCAGGTTCAAAGCCCAGTTATACAATCAGTAAAATCCAGAATATGGGACAATTCTAGAAACCAATGACCAGATTTTGTCAACAAACACATTGCAAGGAGAGGGGAAAAAAGAAAGAACCTATGGAATAAAATGGATGAGAGCAAGAACAGTGGCGAACCTTGTTTGGATTTTTTTTTTTTAATATATTTTATTGATTTTTCCACAGAGAGGAAGGGAGAGGGATAGAGAGCTAGAAACGTTGATGAGAGAGAAACATGGACTAGCTGCCTCTTACACACACCGGAGATGTGCCCGCAACCAATGTACATGCCCTTGACCGGAATCGAACCTGGGACTTTTCAGTCCGCAGACCGACGCTCTATCCACTGAGCCAAACCGGTTTCGGCCCTTGTTTGGATTTTGATTTTAAAAATCAACTATAGCTTTAGCAGGTTTGGTTCAGTGATGGAACGTTGGCCTGCGGACCAAAGGGTCCCAGGTTTGATTCTAGTCAAGGGCATGTACCTTGGTTGCAGGCTCCTCCCCGGCTCAGGCCTTGGTCAGGCTCGTGCAGGAGCAACCAATCAATATGTTTCACATTGATATTTCTCTCATTCTCTCTCCCACTTTCCTTAAAAATCTGGAAAAACATTCTTGGGTGAGGATTAACCAACACACATCAACTGTAAAAAAAGAAATTAGAATATTTTATTTTATTTATTTTTATTTATTTTTTAAATATATTTTATTGATTTTTTATAGAGAGGAGCAGAGAAGGATAGAGAGCTAGAAATGTCGATGAGAGAGAAACATCGACCAGCTGCCTCTTGCACACCCCCTACTGGGGATGTGCCCACAACCCATGTACATGCCCTTGACCGGAATCGAACCTGGGACCTTTCAGTCCGCAGACCGACGCTCTACCACTGAGCCAAACCGGTTTTGGCAGAAATTAGAATATTTTAAACTCTGGGTATTTGATGTTTATGGATTTATTACATTTTTAGCTGTTAATGAGTTAAGTTTTTATGCTTTTGAGGTACATACCAATATTTAGGGGTAAAATATGCCTGGGATTAGCTTTAAAACAGAGAAGTGATTTGGGTTGTGATTGATCCCTGTAGGTAGGTAGGTATGAGGAGGTCCTTGTTCTTCCTGCTTTTGTGTATGTTTGAACTTGGCCATAATAATGAACAGCACCAAAAATATTTGAGCAGAGACAGCCCAATTTAGCCACTTTATATTTGTGACTGGATAATTTTCAAAAACTGCTTACCTATAATATGGAAATAGTTCCTTTCCACTTTGTGTTGGTATTAACCACAGAGGAACTTAGTTACAGTCTCACAAAATTGATTCAAACTAGATATTTCATTTGAATTAACGAGAGTCAAAGAGAAAAGCCCCCTTTCCCCAAGCTTGTGTTGTCTCTTCAAGGTATGGTCACAACTATTGCTTCCATTCCTTGTTATGTCACCTCATTTCCAGGAAATGCGCAAGCATCTATCTGCCATTGAAGACCCTTTCTGTGGGAAAGGGAACACTGGGTAGCCATTTATTAAATCTGCCTCTACCATTCCCACCTTAAATGACTTTCTATATTATTAATCTATCTACCTTCCCCCCCCCGTCATCTCAAAGGCCACTTTGCTTCTTTATCCTCTCTAAATAAAGTCCCCAGTACATATCCAGTGGTGGTAGCAGAGTAACAACCTCTCTTCACCCAAGATGTGCATGTCCTCGGGCCCAGAAATGGAATGTTAGGTCTGGTAGCGAAAGGTTATTATTAAGGCAGCGGATGGAATGGAGGTTGCTTAATCGCCTGACCTTAAAATAGAGATTACCCTGGTTGTCTGGGTGGCCCAGGAATTACAAGGGTGGCAGGAGTCAGAGAAGGCTATAACGAAGTATAGAGGGGTGCAGTATTGCTGGTTTGAAGATGGAAGAAGGGAGTCACGGGCCAAGGAATGCAGGTAGCCTCCACCAGCTGGGAAAGAATTCTGTCTGACACCTGATTTCAGCACAAGTGAGGCCCATGCCAGACTTTTTTTTTTTTTTTGATTTACATGAGAAACTGATTCGTTGTCCCACTTATTTATGCATTCATTGGTTGATCCTTGTATGTGCTCTGACATTGGGATGCTGCTGTAACCAATTGAGCTACCACCCAGGGCTATGTCATAGAACTGTATTTATGTTGCTTTAAACTTTTGTGTCATTTCTTTATGGCACTAATAGATCAGTAAACATTAATTACTTGCAATTTTCCTGTAAGGAAGAACTGTCCCTTCTCCCTCACGTATAAATCTGTCAGAATGGACTCATCACGATTGTGTTCTACGGTTTATGATTCATTGCAGATTTGACCACTGGGTGCTCCTTCAGATTGGTTCCTGTGTCAAGACAAGCCTCCTTCCTTTTTTGAGCACATTCTTGTTTTATGGTACCAAAAGGTATTCCAGACTCATTTTATATTCTCTCTGCTTTAGATCAGAATTTCCCCAAGGACTCTTTTTTATCTTTATTTTTTTATTGAAGAATAATATTTAGAAACCAAGATTTGAACACTATATGTGCTCATTACTACTGAGTGCCACTGCCTCTAGGCCCTCTGAGCAGTCAGGGCTAGGAAATATACAAATGTTTCTAGCCCTGGTGGTCAGAGAGACATTTATTTCAGTATCTGTATGTATGCATATAGGAGTCCATACCCCCCTTCCCAACATCACAGGTTCATTCCAGCGTTACCACCACCTCATCTGTCACTGTTCCGGCGGGCCAGAGCTCTAAGCACACCATCCCTGCGTGAGAGCGAGGAGGGGAGTGCTGCATAGAGCTTGGCTAAAGGATGGGATCTCCCACTGATGGCAAAGTCACTCCCAGCGGAGAACAGCATGAGTAGAGGCTGGCAGGCGAAGCGGGGGTGATGATGGGGAAGCGCAAAACGGGGGAGGGACAGATCCCTAAGGGCCTGGACATGAGGGTGGCTTCTCCAGCAGCAGGAAGTGCTGGGCATTGTGGATTGGGAAGTGGCAGAACCAAGGCTGTCTGGGCTTCAGCTCCGAGAGCAAATCGAGGGCTGGGGAAAGTGAGCTGTGGTCTTGAGCCGGAGTGCTGTGGCCATCACAGGAAAGAAATGACAGGGAGGGAAGGTACCACAGAACCAACGGAGCTGGTAACTGACAGAATGTGGAGGTAGGGAGGCAGGACTCCATGTAATAGGGCTGCAACTTGTGTGGTTGGGGGAAAATGGAACATGAACTGAACCCCAAACCAAGGGTCCTCTGTAAATTCCGTTTCTCCCTTGAAAGCAGGTATGGGCTTAACTGCTCCCTGACCACAAAGCCTCACAAAATGCCCTGTGAAGACAGGCCAGACAGCAATCTCTCCTCTTACACGATCTCAGTTCTAACTCCCTCAGCTCTAACTCCATTGCCTTCCACACACAGCGATAACCATGCTCCTGTGGCCGGCTGCCCGTCAGCCAGGACACAACTACCCCCCACCGCCAGGCCCTCCATATGCTGGCCCCAACCTCCCTTTTTGGTCCACCGTGCATCCTAGCCAGAGACCACTTTCCCTTCCCTGCTGACTTGGCTCACTCAGCTCTGTGCCCTGTCCAGCTCACCGGGCCCAGGTGTCTCCCTGAGCTCCTGCCTCTGCCTGGAACACCTCCCACACCTGGTTAACTCCTGGACCCACACAAGCAGCCTGCCCCACTGCTGGGCTCGATGCCCCTCCAGTTGGCCCTACAATGCTGAACTGAAATAGCCTGTTCTTCCTTCCGACCTGTGTTCTTTGGGCAAAGAGGTTTACCATTGACCCCAAACACAGGGTCCCCTCCTGGCATGCTGTGGGTGTTCACAGACTTGGTAAAGGGCACTCTGGGCTGGATTCTCACTGTGCCCTCCACGCCTCAGAGCCCAGCTCATCATCACCACCTCTGCCATCTCCCCCATCACTCTCCTTCCTGACTTGTTTGAACTCTGCCTGCATCAGTCCTGGACCGTCAGCCCGGCCACACGTGCCCAGGGCAGCAGAGGTGTTCGGCAGGTAGACGCAAAGACACGCAGCCTGCACCCTGCCTGGAGGCCTGCCCAGGAGCAGGCAGAGGACGGCGGCCTGGTCCTGCTGCTCCGGAGGACGGTAATGAGGCCGGGGAATTCTGCCTCCTGCTGAGCCCGGCCTCCTGGGGCCTCCGGGCGGTTGCCCCACCAACCACTGAAACGAGCGAGAGCCAGAGCCGCACTCCCAGTGCCCTGCACCATGCCTGGCCGCTGAGTCCCCAGGGTGGGGGCAAACAGCAGCACGAGAACCACAAGAAAACAGCCATACACGGCCTTGTCCATAATTACTACTATAATGCTTTACAAAATGTTCTTCAGGCAACTGTGTTAAATTATACATATCTGGGAGGGGGCGGGCTCTGGCCCCAGGGTGATGAAGACCGTGCCCCCTCACCCCCTGGGTCTGACTCCTGATTAAGTGCTCCCCCTCAGCCAGCGAAGACCATTAACCCTTCCCCATCCCCTACTGGGTAAAGGAGGAAGAGCAGCAAGTCAGTGAAGTGCTTTGAAGGGGAGCATATAACAGACTGGCTGCCCAAGCCCCCTGTGTACGCTGCTCTGGCTCTGTACCTCCAACTGGGGCCAGAACCCCGCACTGGGGGGGCAGCTGCCATATTCGGCCTGCACCAAGGCATCCACTCTGGAAGGGGGGGCAGTGCGGAAGGTCAGGGATGCCTGGGAGTAGCTGGCCTTGTGCTCCACCCTGTCAGGCCAGGAAGAGGCGTGAGAAACAGTGATACACCAGTGGGCGCTGTTGGCTGCCCCTCTCCACCCCACCCCCCAAGGCCAGTTACACAGGCACCCCGGCTCTGGGAGGGCATCAGAGGAAATGGGGGTGTTGGGGTGTCTGGCCTTGGAGCTCAGAGAAGCAGCCCCGTGGGTTAGAGCCAGGAACCGTAGGTTTAATTGGCCCTGCCAAGGGGGACCCCCTAGAACCACTGAAGGCTGGGCCCCTCAACTGCTATACTCCAGACTCCCACCCATGCAGCTAGACCGTACTGTGTGTGTGCGTGCACGTAGGGAGGGCTGCAGGGAAGGCTGCTGCACCACCTGCCGGGGTGGGGGCATGCAGGGGCCCAGACAGAAAGGGTCAAGGACTTTGGCTTCCCTTTCCTCCCGTTCTCCCAGCGCTGCCCCTCCCGGGCACTAGAAGGTTTTGCGATGAATTGCACGTGCGCCGTCCTCTTCGTACTCTTTCTTGGAGACCCACATCTTCTTGAAAGTGTCCAGCGAGGCCAGGATGGAGCCCCTGTGAGGAGGGAGGGGGTGTTCTCGGGAGAGCCAGCCTCCAGGGCCTCGGCTGTTCCCTTCACCGGGAGAAGTCCACCCCTCCTCCCGGCCTGGCTGACCCTGGGGGGCTATCCCGGGCCAAACGGTTTCCTCCCAAGCCCTCCGGGAGCCCTGCCTCACCCGATCCACGTGGAGTACAGCCGCTCCTGAGGGGCCGAGATCTGGAGGGAGCAAGCAACACGTAACCCCGCCTGTCCCCACCCGGCAGCCGCCCCGCCCGGGGCGGTTCCCGCGCCGAGGCCAGCCAGCACGCACAGGAGCCGGGAGCCAGGGAACAGGCGAAGGGGAGCAGCGGCTGGGCCGGGCCGGGCCGGGCCGGAAATGAGAGGCCCCGGGAGGCGACAGGTGCCCTCCCCTCCTCCTCCCAGCCAGGGCTGCCCACACCCCCTGCGCCACGGGGACGCTCCACAGCCTCACCTTGATTTTGACGTCCTTTGGGGCAAGCTTCTTTACTTCACTTAGCAATCGGTCGCCAAAGCCTGTGGACACAGGGCTGGCTCGCCTGGGCCCACTCTGGCCCTCTTACTACCAGCTCCCCTGCATCCAGCCCGGTGCCCCCAGTCGCCACCTTCCTTCAGCATTAAGGGTAGGCGCGAGCCACTCCAAGGGCAGAAAAGACAGCCCCAGGCCTGCAAGTGACCCAGCTAACAGAGGTGACATGAGCTAGAACCCCAAGTCAGCTGGCTCTGCTGCCACCTTCCTCACCCAGCTCCAGTTAAAACCCGCCAGAAGCAAAGGCAAAGGCAAAGGCAAATGACAAATCAGGGGAAAGCATAAGCCATTCTGCCCATCAGGTGGGCAGAGGCCCCACACGGTGTCGGGCAGGCGGTGGGCACAAGCTCCCAGGAGGGAAACGGGCAGCACCACCAATAACAAAGGCACACCGCCTGACTGTTCTCTAGGATTTACCCTGTCCGTCTGTTCGCACCACGTGAAGTGACAGTGCAACCTGAGACTAGCAGGGACTGCAACTCTCCAAAGGCCATCAGCAGGCCAGCGGCCAGGCGGCACATCGTCCGGTAAAATACCACACGGACATATAAAAGATAATATGCTAGGTGAGCCACACGTGCAGAACACGCAGTGTGAGTGTATGTGGGTTGACGCACATTGTTTATATGTGCAGGAAGGTAGCAGAGGGTTGCCTGAGAAACCAGCAAATCCTGTGCGGAGGGAGGAGTGACCAGGACAATGGGGAAAGGACACTTCATCTAACCCACTTAGATCTCATACAAACTCATCACCTCCTTAGGAAGTGAGTAAATGTAGTTTTAAGTCTTACTCTTTTAAAAGACACTGCTCACTGAGCACCAAAGCCGACCGGAAGGGGCCACGTCCCAGGCTGCGGGGAGCGGGGTGCAGACGGCCCCGCTGCCCTGGCCCCGAGCCCACCACCTCCGGCCAGGGCACCTTTGAACAGCGTGGAGCCTCCCGAAAGCACGATGTTGGCGAACAGCGTCCGGCGGAGGTCCAGGTCCGACTTGTGGATGGCGAAGGCCAGCACCTCGTGGAGTCCCTCGCTTTCGTCTCCCACCAGGTCTGGCTGGAACAGCAGCTCGGGGGCCCGGAATCGTGCCGGCCCCACCTTGGATCATGAGATTGAGGTACAGACCTCTCCCTCCAGGTCCCAGGGGCACCCGCCACCCAGGCCGGCCTGGTGACTTACGTCCAGCATGCTGCCATCCGGCAAGGTGTACTGCACCTTCTCCGTCTCCAGCGCCTCGTCCTTCTGCGGGTTGATGGACAGGTAGCAGGCTCGCTGCGAGGCGTGGGGAGCAGGGACACATCTTCAGAGGCTGGGCCTGGGACCCACACCCAGGCTCCGCTTCAAGCCTTGGTCCCGCCTCCTCCCCTGCCTCTCCACAACCTCCTGTCCCTCGTCACCTCTTTGATGGTCCGAACCACCTCAAACTCGGCTGAGGTGTGGAAGTCGAAGCCTTCCTTGCGCAGCAGCAGCCGGAGGTAGCGGGAGACGTCGCGGCCGGCGATGTCCACCCGCATGATGGAGTGCGGCATGGCAAAGCCCTCGTAGATGGGCACGGCGTGGGTGACCCCGTCCCCCGAGTCCAGCACCACGCCTGTCGTGCGTCCTGTTGCGTACCTGTCGGCAGGTCAGCGTCCCCTCGCCTCCGCCGGTAAGGCAGGGGCCTCCCCCCGAAGGAACCCAGGACAGCGGCCCAGGAACTGCCCAGACTCCGTCACCAGGGGCTGTTCTACAGGGAGAACAGACATGGTCCCCTCGGCGGGGCGGCCAGGGAGGGGCCGGGAGCACTCACAGGCTGAGCACGGCCTGCATGGAGACGAACAGGGCCGGCACGTTGAAGGTCTCGAAGAACACCTCTGCCGCCTTCTCCCGGTTCTTGCTCGGGTTGAGCGGGGCTTCCGTTAGGAGAACAGGATGCTACGAGACAGCGGAGCTGTGGGCGTGTGCACAGACGGCACACTAGGCCCTAAACGGGTCTTTCCAGAGGAACCCTCCTCCCGCCCGAGTGCACGCAGTGAGTGCACGTCCTTCTCAAGGATGCTGCCCTGTCGCCCGCTGGCAGATACTCTCCCACAGCTTGCTCCCGGAGTGTCTGCCTGGCTGCTCGGCCCTGTGCCCCCCGCAGTGAAGGCGGCAGGCCCTGGCAGAGCGCAGGTGATGTGGGGCCTGACCCAGAGGGAGCCCAGTGGGGCGGGGAGGGGACGCCTGGTGCCGCACCTCCTCGGAGAAGGTCTGCAGCTGGTCCTTGGAGTAGACGTACTGCCAGATGCGCTCCATGTCATTCCAGTCCCGCACCACGCCGTGCTCCATGGGGTAGCGCAGAGCCAGCAGCCCGCGGTGCTCCTGTGTGTGTGTGTGGGGGGGGGGGGGATAGGCAGTGTGGCTCAGGCCCAGCCACCGCTTTCTGCCTGCACCTGCCCCGAGCAGAACCGCTGCGTCCAGGGTGCCCCACGCGCTGTGGCTGATTGTCTGGCAGCTGCCCAGGCTGAGCCCAGCCAGCCTCACCTGGCCGGGACAGGGGGTGGTGACGTGTTCCTCCCCCGCCCCATCCAGGCCCTCGCCTCCTCCCCTGCATGCTTCTCTCTGCTCAGCCAGCACGTCTCCCCGTCTCCCCACACGGCTACCGCTCCCATCGGCACCTGTACAGTCCCCTCTGGTCACCTGTCACCCCCCCCCCCCCAGTTCCCCTGCCAGTGCTCACACCTCTGCATGGACTGTCCTTCAGTGTCCTATGTCCCTCCTTGCCAAGCACCACTTCCCTCTTTCCTGTTACCCATCCCCTGAGAGCCCCCATTGTATAATACTCTCAGATCCTGGCACCCCACACCCTGTTCCCCAGGTGCCTAATCTGCACTTGCTTATAACCCCCCCACACACACACACACACATTCACTCCTCCTGAGGGCCTCTCTGGCAGTGTGGCCCCTGCCCGTCACCCCAGCTGGGTGCAAGAGGTGGCTCCTCAGCTCTCGTTGGGATCAGTTATCAAATCTGGGTAATTCAGACTCTTTAAGTCACTTTTTAATCAGTTCTTTCCTCTGCAGGTTCCAAAAGACAGGGCATGCGTGTTTAACTGTACCCCACCCCCAGGGCCCAGAGCTAAAGCCTGCAGAGCCGGGGCAATGGCATGGCCCTGGAGAGCCGTCTCAGGGTCCTCTGCAGGCAGCTCTGCCCCAGACATGCTCCTGCCATGGAGACCCCAAACCGGGGAAACGCGGGCTCCACGTTACCTCTGCTTTTGGTCCAATGAAGAGGTCCCCCTCCAGGGCTCCGGCCATCACCCGCATGTGCTTTGGGCGCCCGACACTGCGGGGAGAGGTGGGCGTGAGGCAGGCAGGGGCACAGCTGGAAAACCAAGCCCACTCCAGTGGCCAAGAGTGACTCACTCTACAGCACCGCACTGTGGCCATGGGCAAAGGTCAGAAGCTGGGGACTGGCCTTAGCCGGAGAGGAAGCTCAGGGTGAGGAGGGTGTCCCTCCAGGCTGAGCTCTGGAGGAGGTCCTAGTCTGCAGGAGCTGGTGTCCGCAGCCAGCGACTCAGCCCACGCTGCCGAAGGCAGGAGGACGAGGGAGGCTGGCCCCGGAAGCTGGGCGGTGGCTCCCTGTGTACCGGCCTCCCCCTCAGCCGATTCTGCCCCTTTCCCACTGCGGGGCTTCCAGAACAGAGATTCCAAAGTTTGACCCAAGTTCCCTGCACAACAGTGTTGGAAGCCGCCACTGTCCTCACTGGCAGAGCGGTGTGGACAGTACCCGGGAGGCTGGGCAACCTCGAAGCTCTGAACAGTCAGAGCCAACCACCCACTGTTTAGCTGAGACAATGGCAGCTAAAGCTTCTTCCACCTTTTAGTTTTATACAAATCCTTGCTGATGGGCTGTTATTGGAATTGCCTGCCTAAAGGCTATGGGTGTATCCCACAGTCTTAATAAAAGGGATGGCAAGGCCTGAGCGGGGTGGAGGCCTTCCCCTTGAGTTGGGCTTCCGCCTGGCCCCCAATATTTCCAAATTAATATTTTCTAGTCTCTTTCATTTGTGTGTGGCCTCCTCCAGAGCCCGAACCCTGAACCTGAACCTGAACCACATAGGACGTGGGGGAGACACTGGCAACTGGCAGCCCAATGTGGGAGCCTTAATTACACCCAGTGGGTTCCAGAAAGGAAAGCCCCCCCCCCCCCCCCCCCCAGGCTTAGGCTAAGCATCTAAAGCTTCTAGGATGGGCGAGGTGAAGCTGCTGTGGGAAAACTTCCCAATGCAGTGGAGTAGCCCAGGGCGAACCCAAGCTTCCTCCAGTTTCACCTCCTCTGAGAAGGTATTTTCTGGAAATAAATAAGACCCAAAGAGAGCCGCTCCTGGGAGGAGGAGGTGGCTGTGCGGTACTCCCCCACCCCCCACCCCCTCCGAGCTCAGGTCTTCCTCTGGGAATCTCCTCCCTCTTAGCTGCCGCTGCCACGCCCGTCCCCAGGGGAATGCAGGCGCTGGTCCAACTCCGTGAGGGACCAAATCAGACTCCAAAGAGGAGGGGGAAGCCAGAGCAGCTGTCGCCCGTTCCAGAGCCCTCAACAGTGTCAGCCTCACAAATCTGGTGTTTTCCCTGGGGAGTGGGGGGCTGGGGGGGATTGGCCTCAAAGACTCGGGATCCTGTTCTCCTGGGAAGCAAACAAAAAGGTTAGGGCTGCTGCCTGAACACTTACTAGTTTGGGAAACAGTATTTGGGAATCTGATCTCCTGCAAAGCCAGCCTTGATCACTCCGGAGCCCTGCGGGAAAAAACACTGTTTAGCTGTCTGCATTCACCTCCGAATTAAGGCAGTGCCCACAGTGGAGAGCAGGCTGCCGAGGTCCTGCCGGGAGGGCAAGGTCATTTACAAGAACACCAGTGGCTCAAAACTGCGTGGGGGGCAATTCTACATCCCTTCCTCCCACATTTGACAATGTCTGTAGGGATGCTACTGGCATCTACTAGGAAGAGGTCAGGGTCGTTGCTAAACACCCTGCGGTGCACAAGGCAGCCCCTCACAACCAAGAACTATGCAGCCCAGAGAGCCCACAGGAGACTCAGCCCATCACAGCCTCCGCAGGCTCCAGGGCAGCTCCGGCAAGAGGGGTCCCGGGCAAAGCTTTCCTGAAAGCCAGCTTCAAGCAACCCCTGAGCAGTTCCAACAGCCCCTGGCCCCTGGCCTCCTGCTCCCTCTGGACAGACCCTGGGTGCCTAGGAAGCCGCCCCTCTCCAGTGGCTTCCCTAGAGCCCGCAGACAAAGAACTTGTGCTGCCGCTGCCCCAGCCTGGACCGGCCTCTAGAACCCGTCCCCAAGCCCTCCTCACACACAGCTCATCACACCTCAGTCTGCGGTGCAGGAGTCAGCATGCCCGAGGTACAGAGCAGCTGGAAGCCCAGAGGGACCGTGCAGGACGCTCTCTGAACTCAAAACCATGTTGAGTGGCCTGAATTACTTCACCCCAAGAAGGGAAGTGGCCTGGTCCTCCCTGTAGCCTGCTGGGACAGCCCTAAGCCGCGTTCTAGCCTTCTTATTAAATGTCCTCAGGGAGCCCACATGGAACTCCAAAAGAGAGCCACTCAGCGATGACATGGGTCGTGCGGGAGGGAGAAAGGGAAGGGAATCACTATCAAAAACTCCAAGGCTCACGCACAGGAGCCTCTCATTCTCTCACTATGGACCAGAAATCCTCAGAGGGCAGCTGACACGTGAGCTCCAGAGCTGCAGGAGAGCACGGGAAAGCCAGGCATCTCCCCTCTGAGACTCCGAACAGTTATCCCTACTGTGTACGGGTCCTGGGAGGAGGGTCCTGAGCTCTGTGCGCGCCTGCCAGCTGGGCAGTTCTTCAGAGATCAACGTAGCCAGCAGCCAACCCGGTGCTGGTAGATCTCCGGGTGGCAGACCCGAACCTGCATGCCTCCCAGTCCCGGGAGTGGGGAGAGGGGCCTGTTCGCTGGAAGGTCCTGCCTGGGCGCAGCCCCTTGGGAAGCGCAGGGGTAACGGTCCCCAGACCACCCCCTCCAAAAGGGGCCATCGGTGTGCAAAGGGGCCACGCAACTTTCTCTGCCTGCGGGGCGGGCGGAGGGGGCAGGAGGCTGGGGTGGCCCCGCAGGGCCGCGCTGTCACTCCTGCCTCCCCGGAAGCTCATCGCGCGGCTGGGGCACGGGTGGCCCCGAGGCCCCGGCTCCAGGGCCGAGCAGCGCGCAGAGCACAGCCCAGACGGGCGGGGTCCCTCCCGGCGCCGCGTGTGACCGGGGGCGGGGCGCCCGCCTCCCCCCGCTGCCGGGTCTCACGTTGTCGATGACCACGGGCTGGTTGGCGATGATGTCGTAGGACTCCATGGCGCGGGCGGCCCTGCCCGGCAGGCAGGGGCAGGAGGGACCCGCGGGCGGGCGGGCGGGCGGGCGGGCGCGAGGACCGGACCGCGGGGCTCCAGACGCGGCGCCGCGCCCTTCCCCCCCCCCCCAGAGCGCAGACTCCGGGCCCCGCCCGCGAGGGCGCGCGGCGGCCAATCGCCGCTCCCACCTGGGCGAGGGACCGCCCACGCCGGGGCAAAGGGGCCGAGGGGCGGTGCCGCCGCGGGCCCGCCAGCCAATCGCGGCCGCCCGGGAGGACCGCTGGGCACTTCAAGATAGGTTGCGCTGTGTGGGGATGACGTCATGGCATCGCTCTTAAAGGGGACGCGGGTGAAGTCAAGAGGTGGGGGGTGGGGGTGGGCACGAGGTCACCTGTCCGGGAAGACGTCTTCCCGACCGCTAGCACCTCCGACCGCGCTCCTTCGCTCCTTGGCGGTCGCGCAGTCCCCGGGAAGGCTGGCGCTGGCCGCTGTACCCAAAGCATTTACTGCGCGCGGAGGAGGTCCTTCCTCCTGTAACAATTGCAATTTGTGGTAACTTGGTAGCCGGCGTTTATCCAGCACCTACTCCGGCGCTTGCGGAGCACCGCTACGCACTTTGCATAGATTATGTTAAATCGGTAACTACCAGGTAATTGCATTGTTGTTCCCACTTTACAGGTGTGGACACCTAGGAACCTGGCCACGTTTACAGAACCAGCAACCGCTGGGATTACACGTGGGCAGCTTCCCGCCGCCCTGGAGTCAGAGGCTGTAACCGGCTTGAGTTCACTGACCAAAGCGAGCCACAGGGATTTGCCTCTCTCTGCCTTTCCCACCAAACTGATGTAAATCATAAGAGTGGAGACCACCGTACAGAAAAATGCAGAAACCCTGAGTGTGCACTCGGCGTGTTGTTACAATGTGGACATAGGTGTATCCATCGCTGAGGTTCAGAAACAGCTTAACCAGCACGTCAGGGGCCACCAGTAGTCACGGCCCTGTTTCTCCTCCTGGCAGCCCCCCTCCCGAATTTAACATCACACGTTCGTTTTGCCAATTTCAGAACTTAGTGCGAGTGGAATCCTAGGCATGTGTTCATTTGTATCTGGGGTCTATGCATTCATAAAATGGCTCGATGCATAGCCGTGTAAGTTCATACAGGGGTTCTGTACAATCTGATATGAAACACTATCAGGACATATGGTTAAATCAAAGCAAAGAAACCCAGACCAAATGTCCAGAATGCTGTATGTGTGAATGGCTCTGAAGAGCAGATGCAACACCTTTGGGACTTTAATATGGGACGGGGATCATTGGTAGATGTCGGTGAATGAGGGGAGAATTCCTTTTGCAATATAAACTTTTGTATTGAATTGTTTTTAACTTGTTTATGTATATATTGCTTTCGTTTCTCATTTTTATTGTGCCAAAATACACATGACATACAAGTTATCTTAGCCATGTTAAGCGTACAATTCAATAGTATTTAAAACATTCATAATATTGTGTTATCACCACCATCCATCTCCAGAACTCTTTCATCTTGTAAAACTGAAACTCTACACCCATTAAACGCTAATTCCCCATTTCCCACTCTCCCCCGGCCCCTGGCAACCACTGTTGCATTCTCTGTTTCTATGAATTAACTGAGTACCTCTAGCCTCTATACTGCTTTCCATGGCGGCAGCACCACTAACCATGCACTAGGGTTCAAGTTTCTCTATAGCCTCACCAACACTTGTTTTGTTTTGGTGTATTTTTAAAAAATAGTAGCCATCCCAATGAGGATGAGATATCTATCAGCATAGTTCCGATTTGCATTTTTCTAATGTTTCGTGATGTTGAGCATCTTTTCATGTGCTTTATTGTCCATTTGCATGTCTTCTTTGTGTTTCCGGGAAACCCCCGGCTGGGCCCGGGCTGCCTGTCACTGTGCCCAATAAAGGCAGGGCTGAGTCATGTTAGGCGTTTATTGAGAAGGCCAGCCAACCAAGAAGACAGGGTGCTTACAGCATCAGATCCTGTCTCCCAGCAGGTGCAGGATGACAAAGGGGAAGGGCTAGGGTGAGGCAGCCCTGGAGGTCCGCAGACGTCAGCTATTGTCTAGTCACCAGGCGATCCATGAGATGGTATTTGACTTCAGGTGAGTGGGTCTGACCCTGCTTATCAGTTCTGCTGCTGGATTCACAGTGGAGTCACCTCCTCAATCGCTTCGCCCAGGCTTCAAAAGGAAACTTAAGAAAAATTTAACCTTATATTCACATATTAGAAACTTAACCCCCTATTCACATAAGTATGTGTTCTAAGATTTAAAACAATAATATTACTTTTCAGATTAATTCAGGTGCTGTAGCTATCAAACTATAAGTCCACCTCCCCGCATCATTTGGAGATATGCCTATTCAAGTCCTTTGCCCATTTTTAAATTGGTATAGTATCTTTTTCTGCTGTTGATTTTTAGTAGTTCTGTTATATTCTGGATATTAATCCCTTATCAGATATATGATTTGCAAACATTTTTTCCATTCTGTGAACTGCCTTTTTTTTTTAAAAAAATATATTTTATTGATTTTTTTACAGAGAGGAAGGGAGAGAGATATAGAGTGTGAAACATCGATGAGAGAGAGTTACCGATCAGCTGCCTCTTGCACACCCCCCACTGGGGATATGCCCGCAACCAAGGTACATGCCCTTGACCGGAATCGAACCCGGGACCTTTCAGTCCCCAAGCCGACGCTCTATCCATTGAGCCAAACCGGTCTCGGCTGGATTGCCTTTTTACTCTGTTAATAATGACTTTGATGCACACAATTTAAAAAATTTTGTAGTCTATCGTCTATATATATTTTTGTTGCCTCTGGCTTTGGCGTCATATCTGAATTACCAAATCCAATATTCTGAAGCTTTTTACACAGTGTTTTCCTCTATACGTTTTATAGTTTTAGCTCTTATACTTAGGTTTTTTGTTTGTTTGTTTGTTTGTTTGTTTGTTTTTTAAAAAATATATATTTTATTGATTTTTTTACAGAGAGGAAGAGAGAGGGATAGAGAGCTAGAAACGTCGATGAGAGAGAAACATCGACCAGCTGCCTCTTGCACACCCCCTACCGGGGATGTGCCCGCAACCAATGTACATGCCCATGACCGGAATCGAACCTGGGACCTTTCAGTCCGCAGACCAACGTTCTACCACTGAGCCAAACCGGTTTTGGCTATACTTAGGTTTTTAACGCATTTGTGTTAATTTTTATATTTGGTGTTGGTAAGGGACCTTCTTTCTTTTGCATGTGAATATCTCGTTTTCCCAGCTCATTTGTTGAAAAGACTGTCTTTTCCCCATTGCATGGTTTGGCACCCATCAAAGGTCATTTGATCCGGTTTGTGAGGGCTTGTTTCTGGGCTCTTTTATTCCGTGTCTCTGTGTCTGTCTTTATGGTGTACTACTTTAAAAATGAAATAAAATCCTGAAGTGACAGGTGTCTGCATAACAAACATTCATAAAAGAGCAGTTATGAAGAAGGCCAGGGTCCTAGTTACAAGAAATCCCATGAACACCAGACAACAGGGGTCACGGTGAGAGGCAAGGAGCAGCTGAAAGGGCCCCAGGAGGACATGCTGTGGAGCAAACATGGCTGCAGAGGCAGGAGGGTAAGCTGAGATAACGGGAAAGGGGAGGAGCTCAGAAGGCTTACCTTGAACGGAGGGAAAGAGAGAGAGAGAGAGAGAGAGAGAGAGAGAGAGAGAGAGAGAGAGAGAGAGGAGAGGGAGGAAGGTGGGTAGAGAATGACAGTGCCAGAGAGAATCCCTGCAGCCCCAGGACCAGCCACGCCCTCCTGCTCCTTTGAGCCATCGCCTCAGCAGCTCCCAACAGCAGCTCCTCCTCCTGCCTGAACGTTACCCTCGCACTTATTCCTTTGATGTTCAGTCTCAGTCACTGTTACCCTCTTTGCTAATAAAGGTTACTGACCCTGAAAAGGATTACACCTGTCAAAGGGTCTCCTCACTGTTAACTGGGCCCAGATTCATAAGCAGAGTCCGGCAGCCTGGCTCACGGGCCTTTCGCTCACGCTGCATCTCAGGAGAGACCAGAGGGGGCCGCTGCGGCTCCCGCGTGTGTTCCTTCTGGTTAAGTCCGTCCAGGGCTTGCCAGGTGGTGTTTGACCAGGGGGCTGAGGCCAGTCTGTGCGGTTGGAGCTGCGCTGTTGCTAGTATAGCCTCACTAGAGGCCCGATGCACGAAATTCCTGCCAGAGTGGGCCTTCCTTCCCCCAGCTGCCCGCACCGGCTTCCCTCCGGCACTCAGAACCCGGGCTTCCCTCGCAGCCCCGGCTTTATCGGGAAGTTCGTCCAGGATGTCTAATTAGCATATTATGCTTTTATTATTATAGACTTGCCATCTTTTAAAAAATATATTTTTATTGATTTCAAAAGGAAGAGAGAGATAAAAACATCACTGATGAGAGAGAATCGTTGATCTGCCTCCTGCATGTCCACTAGGGGGGGTCGAGCCAGACAGCAACCTGGGCCTATGCCCTTGCCTGGAATTGAACCTGGGACCCTTCAGTCTGCAGGCCGATCTCTATCCACTGAGCCCCACTGGCTAGGGCCTCGTTTGCATCTTTTTAAAAATATATATATATATTTCATTGATTTGCTACAGAGAGGAAGAGAGAGGGACAGAGAGCCAGAAACATCAATGAGAGAGAATCATCAATCAGCCGCCTCCCGCACACCCCCCACTGGGATGTGCCCACAACCAAAGCACATGCCCCCAAGGGGAATAGAACCTGGGACCCTCCAGTCTGCAGGCTGATGCTCTATCCACTGAGCCACACCGATTTCGGCTCATTTGCATCTTTAGAAACCAATCACAGCAGCTCCATAACGACCAATTGGGACACATGATTCTGACCAATCAGGACATTGCAATTTGGGTAATCTAACTGCAAATTTGGATCCTTAATTTGCATAAAAATGGACCCATCAGGGATCCGGGCAGGCACTT